TCAAGAGGAGGCTGGTTGGGAAACTCCAAAAAAGAAACATACATTCAAACAAAGGGGGGAGTCAAGTCCAACCCTAAAAACAGCCAAAGACCATATAGAGAAAGGGGGGTCAGTCCCCAACATGAACCAATGGAACACTACAAACCACAACCAAACAAATGGCAATTTGGGTGCTACACACCCAAACACAAGTGGCTTATCTAGTGGGACAGGCCACATGCAAGCTAAGGTTCCCCCTTGAGGGGATAGAAATGTAGGTCTTAATTGAGATGTTAGGACTCTCTTTTGTATTCCACTCATATTATGTCTGAGAGAGAGTAGAGAGTGATGAGCTTGTAATTCTTATAGCATTTTCTTTTATTTGAAATATAGGGGTAGGGCCCCCGTTAACAACCCCGCTTACCAATAAAAAAAAACAAAAAGATCTTGGTGATTTCAGGATATGGCGTTACTTTCTTACTTGGTCGTTCTTTGAACTTTCCAGCTACAAGACCTGAAAATTTCTGTATGTGATTATCAAGTTGGGGAATCATTTTTCAGGCTAACCCAAGGAGTTTGTCATATTGCTCTTGCTCAAGAGGGTCACTGTAGGCCTGTGGAGGTATTTATTTCTCTCCACGTGAAAAAGTCTTTAGAATCATTTTAGAACAATATTTAATTTCTGTAATCTGTCATTTTCATTATATATTTGCCTACAGGTCTTGCTGGGTACTGACTCTCATACCTACAATGCTGGTGCTTTTGGCCAGAATGCTACTGCTCTCTCTCTCTCTCTTAAGCAGTTGGGACACGTGAACCAGGTGAGTCATCGGCATGAGATGATGATCCTCAATCAATAAATAACAAAAGGGTGGGTTAGTGTAGCATAAGATTAGTCATGTCGACATGGGTTTGGGTAGCAATCAAACCAATGTTTTTGATAAAATTTAGAGCTTTTGATTTGAATATTTTGTAAAAAATGGATGGTTCAGTGGTGGATGTTAATTGCTTTTGCTGGCTTTTTAGTGTCTATTGCAGGTTTTCGCTTCTAGAAACATCTTCATATAATGTTCAACTAGGATACATCTCTGAATCTGAACAACATAAAGCGAGTTGCTTATTTGTGTTTACTGTTAACTTATGCTTTTATCATTTTATAAGAAAAAAATGTATTAATGTTTGTTTTATATTTTAGCTCAAGCAATGTTAACGAAAATATGGAAATTGCAGTTGGACATATGTGTAGAGCGATTGAACATTTCGGTGCAAACCCATCATTCGACGGCTGTGACGATTTCCTTCTTTTTCTTCTCTTGCATCTTCTTCTTTCGACACGAGGACATTGCCCAAGCAGGTTAGTCAGCGTCGATTGAAAATGGTACTGCTACTTTGGTACATCATTCATGCATTATCTATGGCACATATATGGTTTGCGCTATAAGGGTATAGCTAAATTTAGAATTTATTTTTGAACGTCAATTTTTCGTTGCTAAATGATTTCAAATTTTTATCATACTGATGTCACTATTCTAACAACTGGTCGCACCTGCGCTTTCATTCACTGAGGTTTTAGATCAGTTGTCACAGGCTGATGCAATTCAACTTGCATAGCTCAGGACTCAGATATGATTTTTGTACATTGTCATTTTTTGCAAATATTTTCATTTATTCAGTGTCCATATAATCGAGTCCTTAAATCAGTTTATCCCTATAGGAACTCTATGATATAGTTCAATCTGCTTCTTAAACTGTCATCTCAATTTGTTTTCAATTCAGCTTATTTTGACAAAACTGAAGTGAAAGTCTCCATTTCTAGATTCCAGAAAAATGAAACTTAAAGTTCATAGCTGGCAAAACTCTAGCAGAGATAGATCATAACACTAACAAAGATAGATCATTTGATAGATCTATGTTGCATAACACCTTCCTTGAGAGTATAAATATGGAGTTTAATATAGCAGTCTAGCTGCCATAACACTACCCTTGATAGATCATTTTTATCAAGGGTATCTGGATGTTCAATAGATCTATCTGGCTAGATTGTTCAACCTGCATATAAACAACCCACGAGTCAATAGGATGTTCAGTCTGCATATAGAACAACCCACTGTGTTGCGTCAGTTTCAGACATATGTTAGTAGACTGTTCAATAAATAATTTTATATGTTCATAGTCAAGCTGGCATAACACTACCATTGATAGATTATTCATTATGGAGTTTAGGTTCATTTGATTCCACCAAAATGAACCTTAAAGTTCAGAGCTGGCAGAGATAGATCATTTGATAGATCTAATCTCACTTATTCAGATTTTGACCTCAATTTTTTATAGAAACAATCATCAATTGGTTTATTATTTCCACATAGTATAGCTCCGAACAAGTATGAAGCTTTATGAATAGAACGAGTTATGGGTTATTATGGAGCAAGATTACTACCCTTGAGATTAGATCCTCGAAGAAATCTTCTTTGCAGTATATCTCAACACCCTATTTGACTGTGAAAGCCAAGTTTGAGCTACTGAACTATGTAGTCGTTGCCTAAAGACTTAGTGTAGGACTGTAAGATCACCCTATTTTCATCCAAAACACATTTGAATATTTTTATTGAACTCACATTTGAATATAGAACTTCAACTCTTTGTAAACCCACCTGAGTAATATAAACAAACACATCATCTGTAGAAGAGTATTCTAAAAGCGAAAGCATTGTATACAGTGGGTGCATTTAGAAGAATTCCAGGCTTAGAAAAGATTGAGCCACCCCAAACTACTGAGGTGGTCTATATTCATTTGATCCTAACAAGATATCATATCATGTTCTCATGGTATTTGGAAATGGTTGATAGAGCCATTAACAACTCTGAAAGTTTAAATTAAACAATGTCTGCAAGAAT